TCCCTACATTGAGTGCTTAATCCTTTCTGCCCCTCAAGCATGAAGAATTAAAAAGACCAACCAGCAGTGGAACAGCCACCCAGAGGAAGTTTAGTTCTGCAGTTGGGAGGAGAAGCTGCTTAAACAGTTCACACCATTACCTTCAGTTTTTAAAAGAAAGGCTGCTAGAAGTCAAGCCAAAGGAGGGCACTGTATCAACTCCTCTCAGGAGCACTCTGAGCACCCCAAGGTTGCTTTGCTCTGTCAGCACTGAGTGCAGCAGCTCCCACAGAGGATTCCTGCTCCTGCCTTATCTGCACTGATGCAAGAGTCCCCCCGACCCCCAGCACCAGTGTCCCAACCCTCTGAGCCAAGAGCCACACAGCACTCCAGCTCCTGCAAGGAATGCAGAAAATCCCCCAGCATTTGCAGATCTCTGCTTACCTGTCACACCAGGGTTCAAAGATCTGACAGGGCTCCTGGAGCAGACGTCAGGGAGCCAAGGACAGGACACACTTGCTGTAGGGCCCCAGAATTTCTCAATCCTTTTAGGTCTTTTTGAGTCAGCTTCTCCCAGCTTACAGCACACCCCCCCCCAGTCCCCTTCCCACCAGGGCTGCAGATGCTGCTGCAGGAACAACTGGGGATTTCACAAGATTCTCCATTCATCTGTTCTGCCCTTGCTCACCTCTGAGTTCCAGCTCCACACTCGGTGACACTCAGCTCCTGCCTGTTATCCTGTTAAGTTAATCAACATGCTGGAACTCAGCAAGATTTCTTTTCAGACACAGCCTAAATAGGTATCTAACTGGGGCTGGAGCCCCTCTGCTGTGAGGACAGGCTGAGAGAGACTGGGGAGGGACTTTTCACAGGGGTTTGTAGAGACAGGATGAGGGGTGATGGGTTTAAACTGGAAGAGGGGAGATTTAGATTAGAAATCAGGAGGAATTTTTTCACTCTGAGGTTGGTGAGACCCTGGCCCAGGCTGTCCAGGGAAGCTGTGGATGCTCCATCCCTGGAGGTGTTCCAGACCAGGTTGGATGGGGCTTGGAGCAACCTGCTCTAGTGGAAGGTGTCCCATGGCAGGGGGGTGGAACAAGATGACTTCCAAGGTCTCTTCCAACCCAAATCATCCTATGACCATGATCTACAAATCCCAAAGTCCCTGAAAGATTATTCTGAAAATGAGCCAGTTTAGCTCTCAGGAGTGACAACTCTTTTTGTGTGCTCTTTCCACACTGGAGACTGTTAGTAAGAGGCAGCTAAAAGGTAAAAACACTGAAAAAAGGAAAGTAGTTACCCAAAAGCTGATAAAATAACCTATAACATGAGCTAACTTGAAGCTGTACATGTACAGTAGTTATTAAAAAAGGAAAAGGGTGTTTAAAGCCCTAAAAAGCCCATGCAGATGGCCACCTCCAAAGAGCTTTCCATCAGGCCAGAGCCTGAGGAACAGCTGGAGGTCCTGAACACCTCTGCTTGCTGTTTTCCAGCTTAGCTGTGGGTGTTCTCCTAAAATTAAAGCATAACTCATCATCCTGCCTTAGGAGCTGGGACCAAAGGAGATGTTCACACCCTCTGTGTTAAGCATTAGCAGCTCTCTTCACTCAGGCCACTCTTGAGGGTCTAGAAGAGCCCTTCACCAACACCACTGCACTCAGGGAGAACAGAGCCCCACCACAGGCTCTACTTCCAACCCTGAAAAGCTCCAACAAGGGGAGAAAAAGGGCTGAAGGGGAGAAAAAGAGCTGAAGGATTTCAAGGGGATACACAAAATCCCAGTCAGAGCTGAGCATCCAGTTCAGACCAGTAACAGAACAGGAACAGCACCCCCTGAACTCTCCTGCAGGGTCACCACCTCTCTCCACTCTTGCAGGTCCAGAATAGAGGGTTTCAGTTGGCTGTGACTGCCTGTGGCTGCCAGAACAACAAGAGTTTAAACTTGTCCAGGTTCAGGAATCCACCTGACACTGTTTCCAGTGTGTTTAAGACACCACTGACAGCTTTCATCTGGTCTTTTTATCTTTATTGCCCTGTTTAATCTATATACTTCATTGGTTCTGTCTGTAAATTGGGGCCAGAAACAATCCTGATGTGAACACAGGTTCTCACTTGCTCAATGAACTGGCAGAGGTGGAGCATGGACCTGTTCCAGTGTGGACTTGCCCCAGAAAAACAAGAAAAAAGAGAGAGCAGGAGGGACCTGGTGGATTCCTTGGGCCAGCTCCTCACTGTTAGAGGGAACTGCACACAAGGGCCCTTCCAGCAGCCAGTTAAACACCACCTGAAGGTCTTCACAGAATCATGAAGGTTGGAAAAGACCTCTAAGATCATCAACCAAGCACTCCCATGGCCACTAAACCATTTCCTGAGGGGCCACAGCCACAGGTTTTGTGAACCCCTCCAGGGCTGGGGACTCCAGCACCTCCCTGGGCAGCCTGGGCCAATCCCTCAGCACTCTGCCAGGAGAGAAATTCTTCTTAAGATCCAACCTAAACCTCCCCTGGTGCAACTTCAGCCCATTGCCTCTTGTCCTATCGCTGGTTACTTGGGAGTGGAGACCAAACCCCACCTTTTAAAAGTGCTGGAAAAAAAAGTTTTAAAACTTCTTCCCTCTTCTGCCCAGTCCAGAACCTCATTCCTCCAACTGTCTGAAACCTCCTCATTCCAAAGCCCTCAGAGAACTGGTGGAGCTTCATTCCAACACGGGACCACCCTGCTATCCCTCCACTTCCACCTTCCTGAACCTTACCACACAGATTTCCTTAAGCCTGGCTCAAATTCCTGTTGGAAAAGTGACCTCAGATGTAGTCTGATCTTCAGGAGAAACACTTCCATGAAGCTTAAACCCAACAATGGCTGCTCTGCCTCTGCATCCTTATCTTTCAGACATTCCTTGTTTTCTCTCACTCCCTCTCCTCCTAGCTGAAATCTGGAGTGATTTCCCCCAAGGATGAAAGTGTGAGCACAGCTCTACACAGAACTATGGCTCCCTTCTAACAGGATCAGGAAGTTTCAATGCTCTTTGTATTTATTAGCTAAAAATTAGGGGGAAAAAAAAGAGATATTTTGGTTCTCACCTGCCACAGTGGAGCATTAAGCTGATGAATAACCACGTTCAGCTGATTATTCCTTGCAAAGGCCACAATAGCATCGTTGCCAGCAAAGGTACCAGGCTTTGCCAGATTGGTAACTAAAGGAAAAAACATTCAGAAGTTGGAAACGTGCTTTCTGACACTTCTGAAAGTGCTGGAGGGAGAGCAAGGAACGAAATTTCAACACAAATTCTGGAAAGGAAATCCCAACTGCAAAACAGCGACTGCTGAGGCAAGAATTTGGCAGCAACAGAAGATAACACATCTCAAACGACCTCAGGAACCTCTGAGAAATGCAGCATGCCCTCGGGTGATGCAGGGCTGTCAGCTCTGGGCTAGCCTGGAAGGCAGAGTGGCACGTGCTGGAGCACCACACTGCTTCCATGTGCCACCTGAGTGGTACTCGGCACCCCCTTGAAGCTGGCAGGATGAGGGCTCTATCAGTCCTTGCTTTGGCTCTTCCCCTGGGTCACCAGTAAAAAGTATCAGCTATCAAGGAGAGAAAGAAACCCAAAGAAATCAGAATACAGACACTAGTATTCAAGCAAAGCTAGACCATTTTTGCAAGTTCCTTTGGAATTTTCACTCCTCCCTTTTCTCTGCCTCTCTTTCCTTCTCCAAGTTTCTCCTGAACGTAAACAACCTCCCAGACAAATGTCATACAAGTTGAACAGCTCATCCCTCTCCAGAAAAGCAACAGCGAGGAACGTAAACTCGCTGCTCCCAAAATCCAGAGAGGAGCCCTGAGGCAGCAGGGGGGCTGTGCAGTGAGGAGGTGAGCAGGCTGCCCAGCAAGCCCCTGCCAGAGGCTGTACCGTGCTTCTCGAAGGGCACGTCATCCTCCACGAAGGGCTCGAAATCCTCCCTCCGCTGCAGCATGTACTCCACCGTCTCCTGGCGGTGCCTGAGGTGGTTCCTGGAGTGCCCCTCCAGCTGGTCACCCAACGCCCGAAACAGACAGTTGCTACCCAGAGAGAAACCACAGGTGAGTGTGTTGGCCAGGCAGGTAACAGATACACCCCTGAAGTAATGAGCTGGAAAGAACACGATGTTAATTGGCAAGAAAACGAGCTGCTCTCTTCCTGCCCAAGAAGTTCTGGAAGGATGTGAGTGTGAAGCAGCACCTATTTCCCCCAGCTGCTGTGAGGAGAAGAATTGCTGCTTGGAACAGAATGTTCTGAGTGAATGTGTTGTCACCCCAACAGGGTAAGTCAAGGGCAGCGAGAGCGCTGCACCAGAATGGCTCAAACTGAGACGAGTGACATCACACAGCAAAGGAAAACCCAACGAAAACACTTAGGAAAACGAAGCAACTTCTCAGCAGACACATGCAACGTCCCTGCTAAAGGGACCTACTACTTCAGGACCCTCCTATGTGCCACTCAGCAGGTCAGTGGAGGCCCCAGACCCCTGGGATCAGGTCTGGACCTAGCAGAGCCCTCAGCCCAGCAGGTGAGAGGCCAGTGGA